TGTAAACCACTTTTTGCAATAAAGATGACTTTACAAAAAAATAAATAAATAAAAAAAATAACAAATAAAATAAGTGTTCCGTAGATGGTAATAAACTTTTTATTAATTCACATTCAGCATGTCAGTTTTTTGCTCACATATAATTTGTAATGTGGTATTAGTTTTTAACTGTTAGTTGATGTTCACGTAGAGTGACCTTGATTAGTTTTAGTGGGTTATTTATTGGCATTAGTCAAGTAAAGCAATATTTTAGAACTTTTTCAGAGAGAGAGACTGGTACGGTAACAAGTCTCAGAAAAAATCACTTTGTGAAATTAAGCGTTAAAGTGTTTCAATTTCAACTTGAAGCTCATGAAAACAACAAAGTCGGAAGCACAACTTCCGGACACGGAAAATCGGACAATCCCAGAAACACCTGAATGCAGCATAAATCTGAACCGCATTCTAAAATGGCGGCGCCGCTCACCTCAATTTACTAACAAAGCTAAACTTGACCGTGTCTGTTGCACGTAGCTTCTAAATATGCTTTACACGAAGACAAAAAAAGTCAAAATACGCAATATAATCGAATTTGCACTGTCGTAGTTTAGCAACGGGCATTTTCGGCTAACGTTACACATTCAGCTTGTAAAACAAAGAAATAGCATGCTAATTAAGTTAATACAGGGAAAATAGTTTTTAACTCACCGAATCCTCGTTAGAAGCTTGAACAAAGAACAGAATCCAGCATATAGACAGCAGGTGAACACAAAATCCTCAAACAATGAAAAAAAAAACTTTAACTTGCTTCTTTGCTCCTATTTTCCTTCTCTCATCCTTTGTTTGCAACTTGCTCGTGCGTCTCCTGTTTGTCACCAGCACGCGGCGCTACAGACAGGCACACTGACAGCATTTCTTAAAGGGACAGTACACAGAGTAAAATAACAGTTGCATTATGTATACTGTTACTGTCAATACTAATTAATATAAAAAAAACGTCATTTATTTGTCTACAATATATTTATTATTTGTTTAATATTTCATTTGTGAAAGCTTATATTTCATTGTTTTATGCATTTTAGAACAATGTGTATGTAAATATAGGCCTTAATATTATTTCATGCTGTAATAGTGGAGAGCTACAAATTGCAACATTATGTAATTTTTTTTTGTTTCCATAAAATAATAGCTACTGTGAAGGTATTCTTTCAGCTTCAAACGGCTTCCTCTGCAACAGTTTTCTATTTTTTGTATTGTTCTGAAACCCAGCAGCAGCAGCAGCAGCAGACATTTTTATTCCAGGTTTCTCAACTGTTTCCTTACTGGTTTCCACTGTTTCTTCTGCTGCCAAGATGCACTAGCAACTCCTGTGATGCAACTGTAACATCCACTCAATAATGGTCTATATGGAGTGCCCCAGGAATGAGTCCTAACACCCGTAAATAAGTTAGCATTTTAGCACTATCAGTTCCCTCGTCTCAAAGTCAGTGGATGTTTTGAATGGGTCTTTTTTTTGTTGGATGCCTTGAATTAGGTCTGTGGTTAACACAAGCTTAAGAGACTTTCACATTTTGTTCTGGGACATAAAATTTGTCAGTAAATACCCCAATCATGAATTTTGAAACTAGGTGTCTTAAAAAAAGGCAGTTAACAAGTGAGCTAAATGAGACTACAGAACGTCACTCCAAACACGGCTTTACAGTCTTGTACACAGCTGTTCCAGTCTTGCTGTGGTGACAAAATTAGGTCATGTAGTTTGTTTATAGCCTAACGTTAGCTTTTTACTCATGGCAATTGCATTTATGCTTCATGACATCAGTGTTCATTTATGAAGATAATCTTGCTTAACATAATAAGTATCATGAATTTTTGGTTGCACACAGTTTAATTTTTGCAATAATCCAAAAATCCCATTGGCTTTTTGATAAGGGAACCAGGGTGACACTAACTTCCATGTGAGCCTGCAAAAAAAAGTCATCCCTGCAACACTCTATTGACCTAGGTTACATATGTGTTCCCTTGTGCCAGTTTCAGCCATGCCTCCAAATCTTAGATAAATAGTCACTTCCCCATGTCGTCCAGGGTACAGTGACAGCTAGCTGGCAGACAGTGGATCTGCTGCTCTGAGCGTCTTGGCCAAAAACAAAATGTGAGTGTTGTTGGTTCCACTATCCAGATCTGCATGATGCTAAAACGAGAGGAATTAGGTCAATTCTTTTTAAAAACAGGGTTACCACACATTTTTACCAATGGATTTTCAAAACAATTCCATAACTTTTCCATATTTTACTTAATTTTCATTTCCATTTCCACTTTATTGAAGTAGTTTAAAATAGGTGGGTCTATATAGCGATACAGCCACAGATAAGAAAACTGCTATCTTTACTTCCTTGTCAGACATTCCCACCACCAACTAGCTGTAAATGTTGATGGATGAGTCCGGCACATACGCGTACTTCGCAAAACGTCAAAGCTGCATCGCTTTTAGGGACAGAAAACCAAGGGTCTTTGTTTATCATGTGACACTAGTGACATTTTAAATTGTTGTTCCCATTAGTCACTGAAACAAAGAAAGAAGTGTGAAAAAAGGGTCCAAGCTGAAAAATACAGAGGTTCAGATCACATACACAAAACCACACAGAGCCACATGACAAGTATAGATCAAACATTTACTCTTTCCATACACAACTTTCAGTTTGATTAGAAATCTTCAACCATCTTTTCGCCAAGTCTTGATATGAAATATAAAGTCGAGAAGCTAAAAGCCATCATCTGGAAACTACAGGCACCTTGTTTTTTTTTTCTTTTCATCAGTTTTTCTGCTTCACACCAGAGACCATAATAACTGTATTCGCACAGCAGAGTTGAGAGAAGTTTCACAGTTGCACACCAGCCAGGTGACGGAGGATTTCACACCCACGGAGGCTTGGAGAGATTACAGACTTGTGGAAAACTAGGTGAGCCCACGAGCTGAGCTTGTGCACTATCAGGATGAGCTCCATCCATCCCGGCAGCTCATTAACATTCATGACTAAACACAGGTAGACGTGGGCTGTGCTCTGTCGTTCTGTCAGACCTCTTACAGTAAGCAACATGGATCTATATGGTTTCATTTCTATACGTTGCAACAGTTCAAGAGATAACACATGTAATCAACTGGAATTCATGAGCTAAATCTGCTGAAGACAAATTATCAGATAGGACACAAAAAATCTGCAAGAACAGATATAAAGATTTCATCCCAAAAGACTGAGTAAAACCATCATTTAAAGAAACAGTGTGCAAGACTTAGGGGGATTTAGTGGTACCCAGCAGTAAAGGACTGCAGATTACAAACAACTTAAACCTCTCCAGGTTAGTATTCCTTTGGTGTGCATTGTTCAGGAGGTTTGTCCCAGGAGCCAAATTATCCACAGTGGTCTCTTCCTCTCCCAAATAAACAGACGCAGTGATTTAAACAGGTAAAAACACTGAATAAATCAGCTTTACATTTAAAAACCTGTGTTTTTCCAACAGTCGGGCAAGTTGAAGATGGGCCGCTAGCCCAGCGTCTGCAAATGTATGGTCAGCTTTTTTCATAGGTAACGGAACATCTAGATATTGGAAAGGTTTTTACCAGGAGCTAAATTATCCGCAGAGGTTTCCTCCTCTCCAGAACAAACAGACACGGTGTTTTAAACAGGTAAAAATACTGAATAAAGCAGTTTTACATTTTAAAAAAAATCTGTTTTTCTGACACTGTTCGGCATGTCAACGACGGGCCGCTAGCCCTGCACCAGCAAATTGGCGCTCACATTTTTTCTTCGACAACTCAAGATCTAGATATTCAGGAGGTTTTTACCGGGAGCCAAATTATCCACAGAGGTCTCTTCCTCTCCTGAACAAACAGACGTAGTGATTTAAACCGGTAAAAACACAGAATAAAGCCGTTTTACATTAGAAAAATGTGTTTTTCCAACACTGTTTGGCATGTCGAAGACAGGCCGCAAGCCCAGCACTTGCAAATGTGTCCTTTTTTCCCGGATAACTAAAGATCCAGACGTTCAGGAGGTTTTCACTGGGAGCCAAATTTTCCGCAGCGGTCTCTTCCTCTCCGAAACAAACAGACACAGTGATTTACACCGGTAAAAACACTGAATAAAGCAGTTCAACGTAAAAAAAAATAAAAAATAGTGCTTATACATTAAACAAAACCTATATTCCATTTCTACTAGTATATCCCCCTAAATCCTACACACTGTACCTTTAACCCGAGGTTCACTGACACATATAGATCCTGAATGTCATGTTAATGTTCATTTGAAACAGACCGACAGTTTGAATCAATGTTCTGCCCACAGAAAGCCTCCCTTAAAAGCTTAAAGCTATTAACAGCAACTGAAATCTTTATGGCTACACTGACAGAGAACTACACATACATGAGTTCAAACTTAGCCCTCCTTGTGTGTGAATGCTGACAAATTCCAGTTTGTCACATTTTCTATAAATGGGTAAATCATCCCGAACTTGATCGCTTGGCAACATCTCAAAAAACAATTTTGTTCATATCAAAACTTCAACATGTATTCTGCTGTCTATATTTAGACCAAGCCTTATTATTCATATCCAGACAAGCCAATCAAACTTCCCAGACATGTTGGTCCTGGCCAATTCTGTGACTCATACTGCCTCTGTATTGTACTGACCCCTTCTATTATGTGACTGTGGGTTTACATAAAGAGTTTAGTCCTCTTCTTTAATACAGTCATTGTTTGATGTTTTCACCTGTGATGTTTCTGGCAGATTGCAAACTGATTTTTCAAAACACAGCAAAGCAAAACACATGAAAATGCAAGAATCATCTTGAAAGCAATGAAATTCCAACTTTTTTTACATTCATTTTACACATTAACTACTAACGCAAGGCTGTTTGTCTCTCTCCCTCCATCCTCCTCAGTCTTTTCAGTCTGTCCTCTCAGGGCCATACATAT